AGTGAGGCGTAAGTGCCGTGGGGTATAGCACCCTCTACACATTACATATCTAGAAGTACTGTAGGTAGCTGTAAATGCATTTCGATTGTATTCTGATAGCAGCGACTTAGTTCCTCGAAGTGAGTTACTCATATATTTTAATTATTGTTTTGTATTATTGTTTATTTACTGTTTTAATTCCAATGGTTTGAAAACAAAAAAATAACATATTTAAATAAAAATTATCATTATGAGTAATACTGATTTAGAAATTAAAAAAAAAAACATTGACAGCCAAATGCAAAAACGTTCAATAAAATTTACGAATATAGCAATGTATTTTTTTGTTTTCATTTAATACAAATTTTAAAACTTTCTAATTACTACTAAATTAAATACAACTACTTAAAGAGTACCGCAATTTTCACAAAACGCTAATAATAATATACCAAACGTTGCTCTACATAAATGACAGCTATATTTGACGTTAAACCACCTCTAAAACACTGAGAAAACTTGGCAGTTTTTTGTCCACGAATCGCCCATTTAGTTTCGCTTCTTGGGTAGGTATTCTTTGACAAAACTAAGAGTAGGTCAGGAGTTATTGTACAAAAAAACTCATAAAAATCAGTGATGTGCCTAGGGCTGTGCTTGAGCTGCCCCTGCAAAAAATACCTCTTTTATTTATATTTTTGTAAAAAAGGTATTTATAATATTGGATTGGCGCCATAAAAATGGTATGCCATCCGTCCTCATGGGTTCACAATGCGACTGATAAAAATACACGTTAGTTTGGAAATGTATTTATTAAATTTAATAGTAATTAAAAAAATTATTTTTTTAATTAAACAATTTACAAAAAAATTATAATTAATAATAAACACTTGACAATAATTATTATACATATTTTATAAACTATTTAATTTAGTAAATGTTTAACATGTCCTCCTTCTCGAATATAAAAATATAAATAAAAGAGGTAGTTTTTGCAGGGGCGGCTCAAGCAAAGCCCTAGGCACACCACTGATTTTTATTTGCAGTTTTTGTACAATAACTCCTGACCTACTCTTAGTTTTGTTGATATGTTAAGTCCAGGATGGACGAATTACTCTAGAAATTCAGTTAAAAAATTGAAAATAGCTCGTTAACTAAGAAAGATACAAAGTTCATTTCACTATAAAAAAAAATTAAAAATTCATAGTTCTTTTTGATTTTAAGATTCATAAAGCAAGTTTCTTTATGTCAAGAATATTGGGCCTTAAATCTACCACACTGGCAAAAAATTCAAAGAAAAAATCGCAACAGCAAACTTTTTACAAAAAAAAAGTTTTTTTTTTTAATGTTAGTTTAACGCCCTGTAACTTTGTTAGGAGCTAGATATAGGTAAATATAGCCAAATCCACTTATTTTTTGGTAATCTATCTGAGGAACAATTTATGACATACCTTTTTGAAACACCCTATACTATTAAAAAAAAATCCGACTCGTATATTTTAAACGAATTGATAGTTTCAATTTTTTCCTTATTTTATCTTGTTAAATTCTTTTGAATCAATAGAAATGTTTTTGTTTTTCCACAACTATTAACTCATCTAAGAATTTATCGTAAGATGTATTTCTAAGATCTAAATTTCCTATAAGTATTAATCAAATAACATTTGTACATTAGATAAAAATTCGCTGATCGGAATTGGACTTATTTACAAACAAAAATCATTCTTCGAGCATGTGTTTATAGTCGTAGAAACGAAGTGACAAAAGCATTATCGTTAACTTGCAACCAACTGAAGATATGATACGTATCACCGGGTCGAACTTTGAACCGGTGAGTCCTTCGATATCGAGAAGCATACTGGCTAGTTTCGGTAATTTCTGGTTATTTTATTGACTCTATTTTTTCTTCTTTCCTTCTTATGATCTTGAGGCATATCGTCACCTAAATGTGTAGAACTGCTAAGTTCTTATACTTAGTTTTACAGGAGATGAATAAAACCTATTAAAAATTTAATGAGCTATGGGATCTTAAGTTCAAAAGTACCATTTCTTTATTTTTATATAAACATCATTTTTAAATTCTTATAACATGCCCTTAGCTTATTTTTAAATTTTTATTTATATTTTCCGGAGATAGCAGGTTTTAAAAAAAAATGTATATTTTGGATTTGGCAAATTTTCTTATAATAATGTAATAACATAGTTTCCTTTTATTCAAAAGGTTGCATTATTAATAGAGAAAACATTATTCGTGGGAAGCCTATCATAAAAGTCGTGGTAATCGTCTGGCAAAGTAGCTTTAAGCACCTGAAGATTCATAAACTTCCTGTTTTAAATCTTAAACTTATCTAGCCCATCTATAGAACATGCTTTAATTCCAGGAGACTATAAAGTTTATTTTTTTATTATCACTCTGGTAGAAGATATTGTTTTTTTTTTTTGTAGAAGCCCTACAATGATGAGATTCCATTTTGGGGAGATAATTTACAAAGTTTATCAGTTCTCTATTTTCTCTGTCAAAAGGTTTATGATTTTCCGTTTTATCAGTTTTATTACGTTGCTTTTTTGTTCCACGCCCTTTCTTTGCTTTTCAATCCAAAACTGTCATTCTGCCTATGAGTAAAGTGTTTAGAAACATGACACGACAAATCCGAATGTTAGTGTCATGTATTCTTAAATGATATAAAACGGATTGAGATCTTCTTAAAACTTCAGCGTTTTTACGATTTCTAGGGCGATTAACCGGAACTTGTGACACTGTGTTATCAATAAATATCTTTTAATCCCTAGCTAAGCTCCAGAAATATTGAACTATTTCTTTTCTGTCTTCTTCCGTAATAGAGCTGCATTTTAGATTTTTGGTCGTTACTTTACATGTACATCTTGATTTTATTACACGAGGAGCTTTTTTAATATCATAGACCCACTTGTTACCTTTTTTGCCTCGACCAAGAAAACTGCGGCCTTTTTTCCTTAGGTTCTTGGTTTTCTATGAAAACCATTCATTTTTATTAACCTAAAACTTCTTTTTTTGGGTTTGACTTTTTTCTGAATATTCTATTGACACATCGGAGTCAGAGTAATTTAAATATGGCATCAAACTAAACTAAGCATCACTTTCGTCACTAATTGGGTCAGCAGCTATCTCATTTTAATGACTTTCCAATTTATTCTGAGGATTATCTGCTTAAACCAAACTTGTAGGCTCAGGAACAATTCCTTTCGTACTGGTTTTTTTTTGTGAAAAAACACTACAAAAGGGGCGTTTACTGATATTACAATCTGATCAAGAGTTAATCAATGAGTAATTTTGTTATAACCTAACTTAACTAGGGTTGCAATCTTAAAAACTAAAGTTCTACTGGCTAGTATACCTTAGGGTCTGATAACTTAATTACATTAAACAAACGTGTAACACTAAACCGCACAATGCTTTGCTTTGTTATTAACACAATAATTTGGCTAACTCAAAAAGTTTCACTCTCTTGAGTCTTCTCGTTAGGTTCGTGTTGTCAAGAAGCTGGATCGCCTCAACATTCACATGTTGGTGGAGCCGTTGTTCGTGACTCCTAGCGAATCTGTTGATAGTCTGGTCAACAGTGTCCATCTGAAGGTCTCGATGAAGGTCGCTGTTTCTAATGTACCAAGGAGCATCGACAATGTTCCTCAATACTGTTTTCTGAAATCTCTGGATTATTAGAATATTACTGTAGCTGGCACAACCCCAGAGCTGAATGCCATAGGTCCAAATTGGTTTGAGAATTTGTTTATATAATAGAATTTTGTTATGTGTAGATAGGCTGAGAATTATCTGCTTAAACCAAACTTGTAGGCTCAGGAACAATTCCTTTCGTACTGGTGACACCGATGATTGGCATTTGGTTACCATTAATAGAAGTATTTGTCTGTCAAAATTTGTCTCTGATTCGTCTTATTTTCAATACTATTTTCCAAATATATAAATTCAAAGTATATATTATCCACAACAGAGAGTTCTGTGAAGTTATCATTATATAGTAAAGAATCAAGGCAGTCAATAATTTCCCTTTGTTTTGGAAATTAAATTTCCGATACATTGTTATTTCCACAAGAAACAGAATTATCCGGTTCTTCAGGCTTGTCCAGTTTCAGTTCAGGCATTAAACTTGAAGCCGACCCTGTCGCTAATTCCACTATTTTCTTCCGTGAGACATCTATAATGCAAAATGAAATACTTTACTATTAAACGGATATTTTTTATAATACTTCTGTTCATTAATTCAAAATATCTGGCTTATATTGTTGTTATATCAAATAATATTGTAATTACTTTACCTTAATTTCCACCTTAAATGTTATAAATCTATTAAAATATACGATGTAAACAAATCACGTCACGCCGGTTAAACGTCAACACGCAAAATGCCCATCTTTGTGGGACTTAGCACATTTACGGTTTATATATTTATTGGTTTGGATATAGGCACTTATTCGTGAGCGAAATATTGTCATTAATTGTGCTTGTGGGACTTCGCAGCTTTACAGTTAAAATTCTCCAATTTTTTTTTTAATATAAAATGTTAAAACTGAAAAAAATGGACTTAGCAGGTTTACACTCTTAACCGATGATATTATGTACAAAAATTAAGCGTCTTTAACCCATTTATGTGACATTATAGTATATTATGCAACGATCATGTATTAATAGCCATTACATGAGAGTCTCATTCACTATTTTTTCTACGACCATTAGAAATTTCCATTTTAGAAGGTTTAATATTAAAAAACTTCGAACTGATACGAATGTCGGCGAGCGCATCCGAAAGCTATAAATTCGCCACTATCTACTGTCCACAATTAAGGATAGGCACAATATTAATTACAAAGTCAGTTCTAGAATGTAAGTGATCTGCACATGCTCAGATGTCAAAATAGGAGCGACACTAATAGTAACTGATCTTAAGTGAACTTGCGATAACTCTCTATACTTGTGGATCACTCTTTATTTGTTATTGTAAAAACATAAATATATTAAATCTACGACTTACCCAATAATATCGTGATTGAGCTTCAAATTCACGATGGTCACGTTGAGCTCCTTGAAAGACCTCTTGTATAAATCACCCAAACTGGAAAAAGCCAATCTCAAAGACACCCTGTCGGTGGGCTGAAAATGGCCTCGAAGCGTCTCGGCCACGTGGTCGAACGATGACATTTTGTCGCACGAAATGGCCGTCAATTTGTCGGTGTTATCCGGTTTGCACGTGCACGGGATGATTTGCTTCCACATGGGACAGTGCTGCGTGTGCATGGCCCCGAAGACGGAGAGCAGGAGCATCAACGAAATCCCGAATTGATACAAGAACATCACAATAAACGTTTTGTACAGTATGTTTACATTTAATACTGGAAAAAATGGAAGTGGAGTTAATTTTATAGGAATTTTTGTTTCATTTTCTAAAGTTTCAAAAATATTCTATTTTAATTAATTTATTGTGCCCATAATGGACAATTATTTTCATTTGCTAAGATGTTATTTATCCAGGTAAATGAAAATATTAGAAATAGTGATAATTTATGCCGGTTCACAAGTGGATTAACTAAATATACCAAAAATAAATGATCAAAATACGTAGATAATCATTATACAGAGTAACGAAAAAATCTGGCAACAAGGTATTTTCTTTATTAATCAGGACCGCTTGGCAAGCATGCATACATTTAATGGCGCCACATTTTGTTGGTATCCCGAGAAAAAAGACTCGAGAGAAAACCACCTCTTGAGAAAGACTCAAGAGAAAACCACCTCTGGAGAAAAAATACTCTAGATAAAACTACCTCTTAAGAGTCTTAAAGAAAAAACTCGAGAGAAACCCAACTCTCGAGGAACATTTTGAAAAAGGCCCAATATGTAAAAACGAACGAAGAAAAAAATTGAAACTAAAACTATATTAAAGAAAATAAAATTTTATGCAATATAGATTATTCTCAACATAATAATTTTATACAATATAGAGTATTCTTAACATCTTTAAGCCCAACTCAACTTTTTTTTTAGGTTAGAAAACGATTTTTCATTCGAAGTAATAAAGACGTCACTTTAAATTTCTATCTCTTAATGTCAACAAATACGTAACACGATGAGTTTAATAAAACGTATGTCTCGAATTAGCACGGTTGCAAATTGGCGACACCTCATCGGCAGTACATCCTAAAATGATTAGGGCAAAAATAAAAGAGTGTATTTTACGTTTTAGCTTTTAAATACTATAAGAAATGGTAGAAAGTCCATAACTTTTAAGTATTTGTTAAATATCACTTATTAAAATATTATCTATTAAAAGTAAAACAAACTGTAGACTTTCCACCATTTTTTCCCGTACTCTGAACCCATTTTTAAAAACAAATTCTGAAAATATTATCGTTCGGAGCTGTATTTTTTATGATAAAAAAGTCGCCGTCACTTGTCATTGACAACACGTTGATCTTGGACTTAAGGGTTTATTATTCTTGATGTATAAAACCCAGAGATAACAGAGATATAAGCAGTCATTGATAAAATATAATATTCACGATGCGAACATTAATTCGACAATCGATACATTCTATTTCTAGACGCGGGGCGAGGCGACGAAAGGTGAGAAATAAGAGAAGGGATAAAAAGAAGAATTTTACGCAGACCCAACTTATTTTTATCAATGAATAAATGTGTAAGCCGCTGCGCGCTTATAATACACAACGTAAATTCCCATGACAGTGTAAGCCCTGTTGCCACTTCCAATCTAACATCACTAGGTTTTGGAATTTATTGAAAATTATTACATCTAATTTGGTGAAATTACATCTAATTTAGTTAAATTTAATATAACTAATATTAAAAATTTTTTGAGTTCAATTGCAATAAAAAAGGTTGAATTATTTTAGCTTTTTAAATATATGTAAACAATTTTGTAAAAAAAACGAGAATAATGAAATAGGCATTTGACAACAGCGGATATTATACCCGTCTGTGTCGCTTAGAATATGTCTTATTCAGGAATGCTCGATATTTGTTAGTAGTTACATCTCCTTGTCATCTCTGATAAAACCTTCGAGCTGAAATTTATATGCTCGAAGGATAAAACCCTATGACGTCAAAAAAGAACGACTAATGACGGTCTACAATTATCAGGACAAGAGCTCTGTAGGTACATATGCTATCAAGCAAAAAATTTTTTGGGTTCCGGCGCCTATGCCTGTCCTACATGTTCAGAAAAGATAATACTTCTGTATTTGATTATTGTCTATAGGTATCTGGAATGCAATTTTATCACTGACTGAAAATTAAATTAATTCTATGTTTTCTTGCAAACTAAAAATGAAGAAAACAAGTATAAAATATATTAGAAAATATTACAACTACTTTTTTGGGAATAAATTTTGTATACACATTTGACATTATTCTTTAACTTCATTAGGCAACTTTTCATACATTTTCTCGTAAATACTGTTGCCTAATTACCTATTCTGTACACATGTTTTAATAATTGTTTTATTGAATATACTTACTTTTCTTTAGCTGAAGTAATACAAATATAAAATAATAAATTAATATTTTCACTTGTTTTATAAATCAATATACTTATAATAAAATCAAAAAATACATTTTTTGTTTACGAATTCTATTAAAAATGATACTGTCAATACACGCAAAATCGCCCTTTAGCACACATATTTTATTTGACGCTGCCGTTACGCACTAAGCGAATAGAATATCTTTGAGGATTTAAATCGTTGAACAGGTGACTTAGGTACACGATATCGAATCAACAATAGTACCTGGATTCGTTGTCTTTCTACTAAGTTTGCCATTATTCTTAGTTTACTTTTAAACATTGTAGATATCAAATAAAATATTTTTTTGCTTAGGATTGTATGACTACGAACATTTTTATTCATTCGCCGATTTTGTCGATTTTGCTAATTTTTTACATTTACAAGTTCTACAAATATTACCTATTTACATTTTTTTTACATTATATACATTTTGTATCCTTATTTTTTTGTGTTGTTTCTTTATTTTTTTTATCAAATAAAATATGATACTTATTGTATACACATTGTTTTTGACATTTTTTCAGTACCTACTACTGTTTTTAGTTTCAAATTAACTATCTACCACTGGTGAACCAAGAGTAGTGAAAAATAATTAATTGAACTGCAATATTATAGGGCTTTTCATTAATGTGATACTTTCTAGTATTCTTGAAAACAGGAAAAATAAGCTTTTCTCTGATATTACATTCGACCTACGTTGACATTGAAAATACAAGATGACGGCGGTACGCTAAACACTGACGTCAAATAAGTTTGACATGTCTTTGAAAAAGTCCCATTAATCCATTCATTAGTTTCAAAGAAAATACCTTGTTGCCAGATTTTTTCACTAGCCTGTATACTTAAGTAATTTTTATATATGTAAAACCTACGTATCTTATTTTATATTTATATTTCATATATATTCTATTTATGTTTCAGTTCAGTAGGAGTATATTTTAAGTTTTAAATTGTAGACATTTAATGATTTTTATTATTATATTGGTTTATGCAAGGATATTCCTACTAATTCATGTTCCGAAATAATTTCCATATTATATCCACCGAAAAATTCTAATAACGCTATATAAAGTCAATCTTTTAACTAATGGGATACTTATATTTTTTATTTTATCAAAAAAGCTGACTATTAAATACAATGTGTCTCCAAAAGAGTTTGGAACATAGCTTAACTACAGACTCGCCACTCTTAATGAATTACCCTGTTTATATCTACTTCAAATGAACTGCTGTAATAGCTATTTTTACTTCAATACAAGAACAATTTAAATAAACTTTGATTAAATTGATTTGACATAACAACACTGACTGATGTCACGTTTTTTTGTCCACACAATAAGTCAAAAAATTTGAATAAAAATGGGGGGATAAGGGGGAGTTAAAATATTAAAAAATCCTAACTCAGAAACAAAAACAAATTGATATCAGATAAGGATCTATTACAGAAATGATTATTTTGTATTATCAGATAAGGAAATGTTCTTCATTTCTTAATCAACAAGTAGTTTTGCATTATAGCCTCAGAATAAATTTTATTGTAGTGATATACAATTGATTTATGAAAAATTATCTTTAAAACAAAAATTATAGAATGTATAATCACATTTTTTAAGCAGACAAAAGGGTGAGCCTATTCAATATACAGGGTGGCACAGCCTATACGCGTCGGTCTCTGTAGGGAAAATGACAACACTACAAATTAAAAATAATTTGGATTATACAGGGTGGCCCGAAAATAGGAATTTATATCAAAATTATGTTTTTTTAAAGGGAACACCCTATATTTGATCGTGTCTTTTGATTCCCCGGAAAAAATAAAGTAAAGTTTCTGTAATGTTTCTTATATCTCTTTTCGTTTTTGAAACATTTAAAGGATCCTTAATTTATAAGCTTGAATAACATAATCTAAACAACAATCTGCTTCCTCAGCATCAATATGGTTTTACAAAGGGTTTTAATTCGAGTGATGCTATGCATGCACTAATATTTCATGTAGATGAAGAAATAAACACCAATAAAAAATGTATCACCACCTTTTTAGATTTAGCAAAGGCTTTTGACACAGTGCTACACCAAAAACTTTTCGATGTACTTGAAAAGAACGGAATAAGAGGCACTGCGTGGAAAGTCTTTGAAAGCTATCTGACTCAGAAAGAACAACAAATTAAAATAAGAGAAAGTCTTAGTTATCCTGAATATGTATAAATCGGTATAACTCAAGGTACGGTCTTAGGGCCAATATTATTCAACTTATATATCAAAGACCCTATATTTGATGGTGTCTTTTGATTCTCCGGAAAAATAAAGTAAAGCTTCTGTAATATTTCCTATACCTATATCTTTTCGTTTTTGAAACATTTAAAGGAATCTTAATTTGTAAGCTTGAACAACATAACCTAGTATGTCGCGGTTATTTAAAATACATCAACAGTCACCTGCGATATGCGTAGCCAAGATATTAGACTATCGAATAAATGCAAATTTTTTCATTACATCATACAGGGTGTTCATTTAGTCTAATTGAATTCAACTTACATATGGAGTTGAATAATATTCCTATTTTAAATGGCCCACCCTGTATTTAATAACATAAACTGATAGACATTTAAATTATCTTTCATTCCATATAAGATTTCCCTATACCTAAATTCGATGGATCTTTAGTAAGTAGCTGTTTTTTATTTTTAACATACGGATGTTATCATATTATTTTTTAATCATAGTAGCCATAGAGGAAATATCACTCAAAATATGTTATTGAATGGAATAAACAATTTTATCACTTTTCAATGTTAAATAGTTTCGATGTA